GGTGAATGGCAACCTGCAAGGCAAGCTCAACCGCAAGGAGCAACACCTCTCGCCAAGTTCGTCGCGCTGCCTAGTTCCGGCGAAGGGCCGCACATCCCAGATGCGCACCTTGGGGGCAAAGGGCTGGGCTGGATGAATTTGAGGTGTTCAGGGCTTGGGATTTGGAGCTCCGGATTCTAGGGGTAAGAACTTCGGATGTTGAGTCAGGACGGTGCGCAGGTCCAGTATTTTTCGGATGCGTATGGAAGGTCTTGCACCATCTGTCGATCGAGACACAGAAACTGCATCTTAGACTGTTGGCTTCGAAACCGGAAGCAGTTAAGAAGTCTTTGCAACAAGAAAGAGAGAGAGAGAGAGAGAGAGAGAGAGAGAGATACAGCTGATCGTGCAAGACAAGGGTGCGCGACACTTGCCATGCATCTCCGAAGCAAACCAGGCAACAAAATGAGGCACTTCCTAAACCCTACCGACCCTACCTATAGAAACCTACCGAAAATAAATGAACGAGTGGGAGGAGATGACAGTGGCAAGCTCAAGATGTGATAGAACCGAGCTACCGAGGTCTTGGCAATGTGACGAGAGCAGAACACAGAAAGTTCATGTCGGTCAGAAACTGGCAGTGGCGAGGTGCTGGCTGCTGAAACGAGCCGCAGTCCGAAAATTTGAAAACCGAGCCTTCAACCCGAAACCCCGAAGACCAGCATAAGCTCCATCAAGGGCTCTTTGCGCTCACATATGCGGGCTTCCCGACTGTGTTGTCCATGGAGTTCGTTGCCAGGAAGTTGCCGTCCTGAAAGAGACACTTGGCCTTAAATCCCAAGCCAACTGAAGTAAACTCCGACCGTTAAGCCCTGAACTCCTAACCTCCATTCCCGAATCTTGGACGCGAATCCTTGAACCTGGGAGACTGACTCTGATCGCACGCATATCTTCAGGCCTTGGAAACGTCCAGGCCCGTGATACTGTCCGTATGGCCCTCCCACACCTTCACGATTCAGGGTTGAGGTCTGAGGGCTTTTTCAGGGCTTGAGGTTCTATAGCCCACATCTTAATCACTAAATCCTCTCAGGCCCATTCCCTCTGACCCTGAAACTGACTTCTGCAGTGAACAACAAGGTTCAGGTGGGGATGTGCTGTGGTCATACAGGCAAGGTTTCGGGTTCGTCGGACTTTGGGTCAAGTTTTTGTACTTGTAGTGGCAATTTCCCGGGACTTGGGGCGGTCCTACAGTACGCAAAAAATCCTTGAGAACTTCAAGAAAGGTGCTACAAAGTATAGCCAGGCTCCCCCTAAGCAACGCCAGGTAACCTCCCAGGCAGTTGTGCTATGCTCAATTGCATTTGGATTGTACTACAGGAATCTTGCCTGCAACTCCCGCATGCGTACGTCGAGATCCTACCCTCGAGAAGTTCCCGTCATGTTTACGAGTCCATAGGCCATAGACCCCGAAACCTAAACACCACGGCATTGACTTGAAGGTAGTTGTGCCAGGGCTGAGGCATGGGGCCTGCTGGAGTTCAAGACGACTGCATGAAATAGTTTCTCGATGGGAGCGGTGCCACCCCTCAACCCTCAACCTGTGAATCCAATGAAAAGGCGAGGCGAGTGACCTGAACGCCTATACTCTGGCACGAAACTTGTACTTCCTCCGGCTCCAAACTAAGGAAATGATGAATGCTGAGACAGCTGGAACAAGGTTGTTTTTGGTACGCAGGTGGAGCGAGGGGGGTGGGGGTGGGGCAGAGCCGTGGGACGCCCCGATATGGATTGTCATCAACTCGCCCACCTCGGGATCCTGGTCCCGCATCCGCATGTCGTAGACTAGGACCGTGTTATCCAGCGACCTTGTCCGGTTCAAGAAAATTGAGAGTTAGTGAGGTTAGGGATTTCGCGCAACTGGTTAGGGCTTCGGATTCGTGATTCAGGCATTTAGCTTCGGGGATCCGGGGTTCAGGTGTGAGGTAAGTGGCGCGGCGCACTTTCGGGCCTAGAGCTCTAGTGCCGTAACGGGCTATCGGACATAAGAAGGGCTGCGGCTCCTGGAATGCAGTGAGGACAGTGGCATCGATAATGAGATAGTTCGAGTCTGAGCTGTTATACATGTTGCTACAAGACACTGTTTAAGATTGAACGTTCTGTTCTAGCACTAGCCCTACTGCTGCTCCGTCACTACAACTTGCGACTGTCAGGACTTATGACTTGGAAAAACCCTGAATGCTCTGAAACCTGAAACACCAAGCCGAACATGACTGGCACACAGCTCGGGGTACTGGGATGCACAGGGTCACTTTCAAAAAAGTGCAGACCTTTCTCTTTCAGCTGAGGAGACGAAGCATTGGAGTTGGGTCACCCCTAAATCGGAAACCGAATGCCAAGGCCCTGAGCCCTGAATCCCAGAACCCCGAAGCCTCATGCAGGGCAAGAATTCAAATGGGAACTTGGACCTGAAAAGGATAGGGGCTTCGTTTACATGCCCTCTTGTAAACCTTGAGCTCTCGTTGGCATTCCTGGGAGTCCCACCCAGAGAAGATTCTCTCGGCGGTGTCGTCGAAGGAGACCGCCAAGATCTGATACCTACCGAAGCCACAAAGAAAGCTGAAAAAGCGAATGCTTTCCGTCGATATTTTTGTCCTAATTCCAGCGCAACATACAGGTATGGACGGTATGGAGGTGTGCTTCCACACACATTTGTTGTGAGGAGCAAATACGGGTGGTCGTTGCTTTTGTTCTCGCTGCCAGCACCCGAAGTTTTGACGTTGATATTTTGGTTGCAACAGGAGTGTAATAATTCCACATGGTTCGACACCAAGAAACGAACAGCGGTTCCATCCGTGCTATAAAAGCGTACGAAGCTCGACACACTGTATTTACAATCGCATGTATTTGGACAACGGTGGGGGGAGACCACTGACTTCTTTTCCAAAACATGAAGATTGTATGAACAAAGTGGTCGTGTGCTTCTGCTTAAGAGAGGAACAACGAATGCATTCCAGATATATCTTTGTCCTTATTACGACGAACATAAAGGTATGGAGGTGTGCTTCCATCTTTCTTGTGAGGGTGGTTTCTAATCGATCTTGGCTTTTGTTCTTGCTGCTAGCTGGTAGCACACGGAAACTCGACTTGTTGTTCTGCTTGTAGAAGGGTTGTCTGATTCTGCAGCGCCGCATGGGACACAGAAACGACAACTGTTCCATCCGTGCTATAATAAGAAGTTCGACACCCTTTACTTCCGATCAAACGTATTGGGAATATGCTGGAGGGAAACGCTGCAGGGAGACCGATGCCCCGCTATCTGGCTGAAACCCAGAACGTCTGCCTCGGCTAGGAGTTGAAAGTTCGAGGAAACGCATCACCATCTCGATTTGGTCAGGGAGCTTCCGGCTTTTGGACTCACCCTGAAACCAAAGGCCAGACTTGAAACAAAACCGGTTTGGCGCACTGATGCTCAAAGGTATGCACCTGGCCGTCAGATCGGGTAAGCGATGTTTCGGGATCCGTTACAATTTCTCCGGCTCTGCATCTTCAGCAAGGGCGGAGAAAGCAGCATCCTCATAAAATCAACGCTAGTAGTAAGTAGTAGTGGTGGTAGTAGTAGTAGTAGTAGTAGTAGCAGTAGTAGCAGCATCGGTACAGTAGTAGTCACGAGTAGGAGTTGTCTACATCCTTTCGGTCTGTTCAACATGTGACCGTGACCCTCGCTATGCAAGACTACGAGGAGACTGCAGCATAGCAAACCCTGCCAGGTCTTGTATCCTGTTCCCTTGGTACCGATCTATCAGCACGTGGGTTTTGGGAGGGTTGGTGTTCGAAAGTACTGACTAGTCATTCAAACCAGACAACACGCGCCGGCGGCGACACAGCGGCGCACACGCAAGTCCCAGAGCTTCGTAGTACCTGGGAGTCGGCATTGCGACATCCCGAATGCCGAAAGCTGCCCGTGTAACAAGAGCTATAGATAAAGATTCCAGGAGGTGTTGGTTTAATGGCAAGTCTTCATGTTCGCACAAGTCCCTAGTTGCTTTGCTTCCTGCGGCTGTGACTACCATCCCTGGGACCATTGTGAGGTCAAGTTCAGTGGCGGTAGCAAATGTGATGTCAAGCACCAAATCCATGCAGAGAACAAGGAAGGTGATAAATGAACGATCATGATCAAGTTGGTGGCGAATATCTTGGTGATGATGGCGATGGAGGCATTGCCGATGACGATCAACAACACAATTTTGATGATGATGAGGAGGGTGATGATGAAGAGGATGAGGATGATGATGATGATGATGGTGGTGACGATGATAATGCTGATGGTGATGATGGTATTGACATTGCTCATAGTGATGAAGATGATCGTGATGATGAAGATGACAGTGCTCGTGATGCTCATCGATCACGAAGACGATGACGGTGGTGCGGATGCTGAGGACGCACCTTTCGACACGAGATCATACCACAATGTGTTGAAGGGTCTCTGCCCATCGTATCAGGCACTACTAGCTTGCTTGGCGTGGCTCACCATCGTCTCCTCCGCTGACGAGATAGGGTACTCCACGTCGAGAGGTCTGCAGCACAGGCAACACAAACAGGCCCACATGCCTCACTGCGAAGGGGTGCCGCAGACGTGCGGAAAACACATGAAATGGAGGAGACCTTCACTAAAACCTGATCTTCGGAGTGTAGCCCTCCAACCCCTGATCTTCAGGGGAATGCTGGAAGGCAAGTGTAGCAAGCCTGGAACGACGCAAGGTTGCAATGCGAATTGATGACATCAACACAGCGCAGGCTCATCCCAAGAACGAGAGGAGGCTACAGTTTGTGTGTCAGTAAAAACATTTGGCCTTGGTGCTGACGGGATCTAGGGCTCCAGGTTGGGGGCTTGGGGTAATGACAGATAGTTTCACCATCACTCGAAGCGTAGCCCTGAACATTACTGCTTTGTAGTTCTCGGAAAACACATGTGCGTAAGCCTTCGGATTCCTACAACCAGGACCCCGACTTCTCCCATTTTACAGCTTGGCAGGAACGGCAACGCTTGTTAGGACAGAGCCGCTCGCCTGCATGCTATTCACGATCGCCGTGTGCCCGTTCAGCTTCTTCAGCCGCTTGCCGGATTCCGGGTCCTCCACATCAAGGTTCGGGGGGTTAGGGCATAAGTGTTGCATGTGCTCGAGCGTGTAGGAACTTCAGCAGAAGTGAACTGGCGTGCTTTGCGTTTTTCGCTTAGGGTTCTTGTTGGGTTTGGTCACGGGAATGCAGCTTTTCGTGCTTGGGCCTCGAAAGGTTTGCAGCCTTCAGGGCTTCGGATTCAGGGTTTCCTGGCTTTTGCTATTTTTGAGGCAGAATTTAAGCACGGCCAAAACCAGGAGCAGGCGCCTCAGTCTTCAAGTTCGTGCAGTACCCGAAAGACTGGAAAATATTTGGAAGCGATACCCAGGTCAACACTGTACAAAAAAAGGCTCGCTACTGGACTCCGCCCTTAGACCCTGAACCCAAGACATCCCTGAAGCTCTTCAGCGGGCAGTCCCATACGCACACGCTCTTGTCGGCAGAGCAGCTGTAAAGCTGGGTGCCGTCATGCTTCCAGTGCACCTCTTCGGTTCTTCCCCGGATTCAGGGCCCAGTGCAATCTGCAGCAATATGAGGCTGTTCCACAGTCAGGGCTTCAGTCGCAGCTTTCAGGTTGAAACCCTGAGCCCAAGGGAACAGAACCCTGCCATGCTCAGCACATCCCAGGCATCCAAAAACCTCTTTCCCAGAAGACAGCACAGTCCAGTAGCCGGAGTGATGGCCTCCAAGACAGCGTTGGCATGGCCTTTCATAACGCCGTAGTTCTCACACTCACCATACACCTCAAGGCATTCTCGGTGGATGGCTTGTGGGCGCAAGAATGCTGAGCTTCGAGGCTCCAGGATTCTGGGTTAGGGCTGTGAGGCATCGAGGTGAGGCTTGAGGTTTCAGTCTTGTACCTACAGTAAAGCCGTCTGTCATCTTGGCTGTCTTGAGATAATTGGCGGTCCAAGAGTTTTCGAGGAACTTGGATCCCTGGACCTTGCATCCTAGACCCTGACGCCCTCAACGGCTCACTTTGTGCGTCCTTTCGGGGAAAGCCCTCAAGGGGGGCTCGAGAAGTCGGGCTTAGGGATTCCTTCGACCTCAGGATCCTGCAAGTGCTGCAAGCGCAAAGGGCTTTTGCGCGTCTGATCCACCACGCTTCTTTGGATATCCTGTGCTGCCCTTTTCTTAAGGACCTGGGCCCCACTGAGCCATTTGTTGCTGCCGCCCTCGGGTCTGGAACGAAAGCGCAGACATGGATCGCGAATTGAGGCTCCGACATTCCAGAGATAGATGGACTTGTCGAAGGAGCCGGTCGCCAGGGCCCGCCCATCAGGAGAGAATTCTGAGCAAAACACCTCCAAAGCTGAAGCTCTCACGGGCTCAAGCCTGGTTGCCCCTCAGCGGGAAACAAAACCGATGAGTTGGGAGTTAGGTTAGGAAGTGCCGGGACCTGGGACCTGGGGTAGCGATTGCGGCTTCCTAGCCATGAGTCCGGCGTTTAGGTACGGTCCGGCGTTTAGGTACGGCAGTAAACGTCATTCTCGCAGCAACGGCAGCAGTAGTAGTTCGATTGCTACCACGGCTACTAGCTCTTTCAAGCGGTGCCTCCCCATCGTGGCCCGTAAGCAGCATGGTGGGGCCGAACAGGCCGCTCTTCCGGTTCACATGCTGCACCTGGGACTTGGTCTGGGGTCATTTGGCTTTTGATTTGGCCCTCAGAGTTGAAGCATTGTAGTTAGTTGGCTCCCCTAGAGTCGATTTCCGAACCCCTAAGCCTAAATGCTGGATCTTAGAACCCCAAGGCACCTTCCGAGTTGAGGCTCACACTGCTGGATGACTTCCGAGGTGGAATATTGGGGTTCCAAGCATGTAAGGGTGAATGCATGTAAGGGTGCCTGCTGTAGGGGTTACTGAAAGGATCACCCTGACCCCTGAGGGTCTGTATGTGCGGGTCCAATATTTTCCGAAACTCCGCCCTAGGCTGCATCCTAAGGCCCTAGCTGCCTAAAGACTAGAACCACTAGAAGCCTGAAAGGCATGCAAGCTCCCGGCATGGATGAGCTGCTCCTGCAGCGCAGGGACCTTGGAGGAGCCGCCGATAGAGGACAGGGTCTAGGTGGTAGGGTATGGGGAACAGTGAGTTCTGGAGTTCAGGGCTTGTCTTCGGGTTTTCCGTCGCTTCGGGGTGTCGGGCCTCAGGTTGGGAGTTTATGAACCAGTTGCTTCTTCATACTTCTAGAGACAGATTCTCGCAGCACTTCCGCTCTTAAGCTGGGCCTGCGAAGGCTTTCACCACAACCTGGAAAAGCCCGGCTCCACCCACAGCTCCGGCTCCAAGTGCTAGATCAGAGCCTCTGAAGAATCTGATGTCGGGTTTGGACCCCAACAAGCAAGAGGATTCCTAAGGCGGCAGCAAGCTCGGCGCCGCCCGTGTATTTCGCCCGCTTGGCTTCCTTGCATGAAACTTCTGGAGGTTTGACACTTTTCCGGCTTTGCCACAGGGACAAAGCACTTGTTGTGTTGGGCTTCGGGCTTCGGAGTTTGGAGGCTATAGTGCTTCGGGCTACAGGGCGAGTCCCGCTTTTATGGCCGAAGAAGCCAGGAGCTCATGTCCCACTTTCCAACGTGTGCGGTGCGAAGGGTCAATGATTTGGTTCTGGGTCACTGACTGTCTCAGATTCAGTGTCGGGAGGAGCGGCCCTCTGCTCTGCACCGAACCTTCCCTACGGGGCCAAACAAACCCAGGTCCCTCCAATCTCAGACCTGCAGACCTGCGGTTCACGGCTCAAGGTCTTCAGAGTTCACAGAACCACCACGAACCTGCTCTGCAGCCGTCTTGGCTACAGCTGCCCTCGCTGCCCGGTAGGGATCAAGCCGGCTGACCAGTACTTACGAGAGCCATGGCGCCACCCCTGCCAAGCTGACGATTTTTATAGGGCCGGGAAGTTTGGTGTTTGGGCGGTGCTTCATTTTGGTCTTCTTCCTTCGTTCTTGGGTCTTCTGCTGGACACATCTTGTTGCTGGGACGCGGTTGCTTTTGCTGCTGCTTGTGTCATCTGTTTTGAGGCTCCACAGGACCTTCACATTCCGCTCTGTCGAAAGCCGCGCACCACGAAACACTCGAAGCTTGGTAGATGTCTGTTCTCTAGCTGTCCGTAGGTTTGACAGAAACCAAAACTTGAACCCTCCAGCGCTGAGGCTCCTAGTTGTGGAAGGTCCAGGCTTTCATTGGGGGGTTGTTCCAAGTTGAAGTCGCTGTCAAGGCTTGTATTGCGCTGCACTCCCTCCCCAGGACGGTTGATCTACTCTGAAGCCAGCACTGCTCAAAACAAGCCAAAGCTCATAAATGCGATCCAAGCACACATCCTACGGATTTTGAGACACGAAGGCAACCCTAAGCCGTTAATCAAACCCCCAACCCCGATCCCTGTCTCTGATAGACCCAAGACAGGATGCGAGACCCTAAACCCTCCGGGGCACGCCTTCTGTGCCTCAACTACTGGCACAACCTGGGTCTCGCCCCAAACAGCCAGGCCGAGCCAACAAACCGCGGTGGGCAGATCCTTGTGGGCGTTCTGGAAGCGGATTTCGGCTAAGGCGGTGGAACGTTTCGAATTCCCCAGAGTCTGCAGCTTGATATTCAGGGACCCAGCATTTGAGGGACCTAACCTTCTCACATACTGGTAGCACATGACACTGGCACTCGTAGTCACCAAGTCGACGGACGTGTGGCAGGCTTCAGGATTTCTCTTTCGGGTTGCGGCTTCGTGCGGTTCGGGCCGAAGGGCTTGGAGGTGCAGCAGCTAGGACCCCAGCCCAACAGCCCAAAACCTGATCTCCCGCCAAAAACCCGAATCCATGTTGCACCCCGCCGAAGTCCGTTGCACTCCCTGTCAGGCACCGAAGCCCTCATCACCCGATCTAAGGCTCTTGTAGGGCTTATTTTTGAACCCTACTCTGGCTCCTTTAATTGTCCTCGGCCCGGAACAGGTGAACTACTTACGATTTCTCCGTCCAGACATGCAAAGACCTTGTTGGTGAAGCCTTAATCAGCGGCACATCAATTCGATTTTCCCCGCACGAAGTACAGTTCGACCCGCAAAGGCCCCCACAGCCTGCTGGTCCTCAGCTTTAGTTGAAGAGTCTGCTGCCCACGCTTCAGGATGGCATGTTTGTTTGAATGATGCTTTCATTCTTTCCCTTAACTTTGGACCAGACACCAAGAGAAGCAGAGATCTTTCCGTAGCACACGCGCCCGTCAAAGAACAGAGACATGTCAAATCGTGCCAAGATCTCTGACTTTAGATCATCAGCTCCTTCGCCAGGAGCCTTCCTCAAGAAACTGAGTCTGCTTGATGCTTGCCGGGCATGGGTTAGCTTTGGGGCAGTTCCTGCCACTGCTCCCAGCCCACAGCAAGGAGATCAGAACGCTTGAAATCATGAAGCTGTGCGTCGGCGTCCTCGGTGACCGTGGCAGAGGCGGCTTACCAAGCATGGGCTCTTCCGGGCTCCCGCGATCCCCCCAAGCTTGGCAGCTCCGAGATGCGGGTCCGGCTTTGGAACCCACATCCTCCGAGAGATCGGCTGAAGCTCACCGCGCGTCGTTGTACTCCTCCGCGGCTCTTCTTTCCTCCTGGAAATCGAAGCTCTACGATCCCACTCTTCCATGTTCTTCACTCTGCTGTGAGTCTTGGATGGAGCCCCAGACACGATAACCCTGCACTCTGACCTCCAGCTCCGTGCCACGCTGGAACCAGTAAGCTGAGGCTTCCTGCCGTCTGCGGAACCAGGGGGCGGTTTGGGGGCACCAGACTCCTAGCTATCCCAAATGCTAAACCTGACATTCAGTACTGTAGACCGAACAAGGAAAACACCTGGATCAACTACCGATCGAGTACTCATTGCGCTCATGCCTAAAACCGTCAACTTGTTGCTGATCGGGAGAGGTTAAGTACGCCCAAATGCTTGAACCCTGAAATTCCGGGCATGGCTACCATGCGCACCTGAAGTCCAATTCCAGATCCCCGACTTTTCTGTATGCACTTAACTCAACCTCAGAAAACTCACCAAAGAAGCCCCGCCCAAGCGCCTCATTTGCAAGCGTGCCCTCCCCAGTCAGGTACATGACACCCAGCCTCGATCTTGCAGCTTTTGGAAGGAAGTCTTCTTCTTGCAAGGGGTTTGGGGGTTTGGGGTGGTGGAACTCGATGGAAAAAGGCTGGCCCTGGTGTTACTAACTGCATGCTGTCGCACGACTGAGACACCTTGCACACCGTCAGCCCGAGGCCCATCCGACGACCCGCCACTACGGCCCGAGCTCGTTGGCACCCTCGGCGCTGCCCCCTTCTGCAGCCTGGGACTCCGCTGCTGCTCGGAAGTCACACCGAAATCTCGACTAAAAGTCGCTGCCCTGGTCAGCATTTCCTGTTTCCCCTTTGCCTATTTCGGGGCTTCAGAAAATTGAAGGTCTATTTGGGGGTCTATATATGATGTGGATCTTGCTATCCACAGTGCCTGCTGCTGCAAAAACCCGACATTTTCTGAAACTGCTGTTGCTGACGCAAAAACTCGTGGCCAGTCAAGGGGAGAATACATGACAGCAGGTGCGCCCCCCATGACTCCAACTGCAAAGCAACACCCTGAAACCGCCGCCTTTCTGAAAGCCACCCAAAATTTCGGAACCCGAACCCTGTCATTATCTGAAGAAACATTCCAGTGTTCCGTATACTAGTGTCTTCGATGGAGAATCTGAACCCGACGCAGAGACTCTAATTGTTTCAAAACTCAAAACCCTGCACCCTGAAACCTTCGTAACGCATGCTCCAACCGCCCTTGCACGGTGCAGTGTTTAGCGGGCCTTCTTGAAATAGTACAGCGCTGCCGCTGGATCACCCCGCGTGCCCTGACCACGGGCCGGCTCCGCAAATGTCTTCAAAGTTACGGATCAGGAGTTTGAGCTTATTTCCGAGAGAGGGCCGAACATGAAACATGTTGTGGTTGGAGGGTTCCGCGGCAGATCGGCAGTCAAAAGATGCAGGGCAGACCCGCCCGTGCTTGCCTCGCCCCCGCGATACATGGAAGCCAAGGCAAGGCAGGCCTGCAAGAAGGTCGTTGGTCTCTCCGGTCTAAGGTTAGCAAAAGGTTGTTGAGACATGTCGTGTATGCGCAATGATGGGTCTAAACCTGATGCCGTTGACGATGATGGTGGCCATGGCAGACTTGATACCGGTTGATGATGAAGACTACGATGATGTTGGTGGTGATGATGAAAATGATTATGGTGATGGTGACGGTGATGGTTCTGATGACGAACACGACGATGATGATGATGACATTGATGTCGATGATGATGATGATGATGGTGACAACCGACAACGACGATTATTGCAAAAGTGGCCATGGGAAAGTGATGATGATGCTGGTTTCGGATGGTAGTCAAGCTGTTGGCAAGAATGACACTGGTAGTGATGAGGCGGGCGTGGATAGCGACGGCTGTGGCAGCGACAACTACTCAACCTGCAGACGCGGCAGTCTGCCGGCCCAAACCCCAAAGCTGGCTGCTGAGGGTAAGGGGGGGTCCAATGCGCACGGCAAAAGAAGGGAGGGGAGGGGGAGAGGAAAAAGGGCTTTGGACGCAAAGCATACTGCTGTGCACTACACGCACTCGCACCTCCCCTGAATCCTGCCTCCGTGCCCTCAGTCCTTGGCCCTCCGCGCCTTCAGTCCGCCTTGCGCCCTCAATGCTTGAGGTTTGAGTGAAAGGGTTGGCATGTTATACCATGCTCCTTTTCTTTCAATTCCAAAACGCCACGCGACGTGTGAACTTTATTGGAATTCTAAACAGATTTAGGCCCTCGAGCGGTGGGGCTACGGGTATTTACAATCCTGGCTGTTTTATCAGCTAGCTAGCAGAACCACAAATCTGGGATGAGTTAGATGGACTTGCAAATGTCAGAACAGCAGGTCAAAGAACACGAAACCATACACAGGTATACTGATTCTGACTGACATTCATTCTTTCCTGTGCCATGTAATTCCCGGAGTAATCATACGGTGCATGTTCAAACTACATGTTTTATCGGAAACAAAGCACAGATTGCAAGAAGCAGAAAAATCCATTGGCAGCGCTGCCACGCCGCTTTCCCCCGCCAACTGCTGCTAACCTGCGTGCTTCAAGGTGCCGCTGCTGCTGGTGCCGCTGCTGCTGCTGCTGATGCTGCTGCTGGTGTTGCTGGTGCTGCTGGTGCCGCTGGTGCTGTTGGTGCGGCTGGTGCTGCGGGCGCTGCCGCCCAGCAGGCGAGTTGGGCGCATTTCGAGGTGGCTTTCCTTCATGAGTTTCAACCAAAGTTAAGGATTTGGTGAAATTGTTAATAACCCGTAAACGCTGAAAACCCCAAACCTGAACTACTCGTTGAGATGTTTGTCTTCGTGGGATGTCCAATGCAAAGTGGACCCCGTTGGCTGCCGTGTATAAGAGATACAAACGCGAAAAACTGTTTAAGGTTTAGGGCTAAGGCTAGCTACGGAAAAACAAAAGAAACGTGCATGCTTCCCGTCAAGCATGGACTAAGCTTGCTCACAAAAGGAATGACGCAGTATCGGTCACCCTTGAACATGCAATTCGACTGAGGCAAGTGACTGTCGAATCTGTGACAGCAGCAATACACGTTGATCTTGCCTTCGGCGCCACCGGCGTGGATGTAGAGAGCGCACCGGCTGAAGGATCCCAAGCGCACAACTAGCCAAGCTTTCAAGTTTTTGGAGTCGCAGGGCAAAGCAATCGCAAAATTCTTGCCGAGCTGAAACGCAGTGAACGCAAACCTTGGATCAACTTGCTTGGCAAGCCCACACAGGGCCTGAACCGGTTCACGGCGGCACTCCAATCGTGGACCTGTTCACCGAATATCCGCTTGACACGCACATGTTCATACCTGGAGCAAGCCCTTGCGGCACCGTTTGCAAAAGTCGCCTCCTGGTCAGTGGATACTTGCATCCCTATCGCGCTGACAAACCTTGACCAGGCATCCCCTGTTGCTGCACATTCAGGAAATATGCCACGGAAAAGCACCGGGCACGGCCATGGCGACGCAGAATTAATCTGAAATCTTCAGCTTATTGAATCTCCGACGCGGGGCAAGAAGATGATCATTGAGGCACTTTATGTCCTGGAGCTTGGTGCCTCAAAGGCTGGCACGACATCAATCGCAAACAGCTTTTCTGCGAACACATACATTGTAGCTTGAAGCTTGTTGAGGTTACCTTCACTAGCACAACCTATTCTTCCGCATGTTGTCTTCTTGTGAGCCCCAACAGGAGAAGGCGACCGACCAGGGTTTAGGGTTCCTTGAAAACGGGGTTTGGAATGGGTTCGGAGCAAAGTCCGAAAGAACCCTGAAATCATGGTCAAGACCTCTAAATCACGGTTCGAATCTTGAAATCCGAGCCCGAGCGCTAAAATTATGATTTTAAAGTTCGGGCTATGATTTTGAAGATCCGACTATGATTTTAGGGTTCCTGGTCTTATGATTTTGAGATCATGATTTTAGCGTTCGGACTGGCCTTGGCCGACGAAGGTTTGGCCTTGGCCGACGAAGGTTCATTCAGCCTTGGCCAACGAAGGTTTGGCCTTGGCAGACGAAGGTTTGGCGTTGGCCGGCGGAAATTAGGGCTTGGCAGACGAACGAAGGTTTGGCCTTGGCAGACGGTTTGGCCTTGGCTGACGAAGGTTTGGCCTTGGCTCACGAAAGTTTGGCCTTGCCCGACGAAAGGTATTTGGGTTTTAATCACCATGTGGGTTCCAGGTTGACGCAGGGTTTTGGGTTCAATTCTCAGGGTTTAGGGTTTTACGGTTCAGGGCTTTGGGTTTTGGTTCAGGGTTTCGGGTTCACAGTTTAGGGTTTCAGTAGCGTGCAGGGTTTACGGCGGCAAGGGCGGAAGTTGGTGCGGGGAGGGAGGGCGTACACTGGACCCGGCACGAGCACGCACTCGACCGGAACAAAGGCGTACACTCTACCCCCTGTATCCTTGTCGAACCCTTTTGCCAAACCCTGAACCAGACGGTTCGCGAGCGCCTCAGTACGGCCCTGCTCGCAGGCTTCCACGAGCCAGGTCACTGCCGAAGCCTGGACCGATGCCATCGTTTGTGTTGGGCTTCTTCCGGTTCGTTTTTTCTGCTTTGGCGTTTCGGGCCAGGGCTTTACGGATTTAGTACTTTAGTGCTCAACGGGATGATGGTGTTGCTGCTGCTGCTGCTGCTGCTGCTGCTGCTGCTGCTGCTGCTGCTGCTGCTGCTGCTGCTGCTGCTGCTGCTGCTGCTGCTGCTGCTGCTGCTGCTGCTGCTGCTGCTGCTGCTGCTGCTGCTGCTGCTGCTGCTGCTGCTGCTGCTGCTGCTGCTGCTGCTGCTGCTGCTGCTGCTGCTGCTGCTGCTGCTGCTGCTGCTGCTGCTGCTGCTGCTGCTGCTGCTGCTGCTGCTGCTGCTGCTGCTGCTGCTGCTGCTGCTGCTGCTGCTGCTGCTGCTGCTGCTGCTGCTGCTGCTGCTGCTGCTGCTGCTGCTGCTGCTGCTGCTGCTGCTGCTGCTGCTGCTGCTGCTGCTGCTGCTGCTGCTGCTGCTGCTGCTGCTGCTGCTGCTGCTGCTGCTGCTGCTGCTGCTGCTGCTGCTGCTGCTACTGCTGCTGCTGCTGCTGCTGCTGCTGCTGCTGCTGCTGCTGCTGCTGCTGCTGCTGCTGCTGCTGCTGCTGCTGCTGCTGCTGCTGCTGCTGCTGCTGCTGCTGCTGCTGCTGCTGCTGCTGCTGCTGCTGCTGCTGCTGCTGCTGCTGCTGCTGCTGCTGCTGCTGCTGCTGCTGCTGCTGCTGGGTTTTGGTATCAAGCTTCTGTACCCCGGGTAAAAGGGCCTGGCACTTGTGCAGGATTTCCGGCTTTTGGCCGTGCAATTCTGGGCTGCTTCAGCTTGCGGGTACGGTATGGGGTTCAGGCCTTTTGGTGTGAGCATTAAGGCTGGACTCCAACATGCTGCTCGAGGCACAGAAGCAAGAAGGCCTGAGGATCAGAAGAGCCTTGAACACCCCAAGCCTCAACTCAGCCCCAAAGCCAGGATTTGTTTCGGTGTAGAGCTCCGGCAAGCAGACAGGCGAGCCGAAAAGGAGGAGGGACGGAGAGACTGAGCTCAGAGACCAGGAGAGGAAGAGGTTCAAGGGCAGAACCCAGTCTGGCGAGCCCTTCGGCTGAATGGTTCACATGCTAGCGACTAGCCTGGTTCAGGCCCAAGCCAATACTGACGATGCCAGATGCATGCTAGCTGTTACAGCCTAGCCAGAAGACCGTCCACGAACGTGCTTCCCCCCGACCTTGTCAGGTGGGAAGCCCGTGCCCGTCCGAAACATTTGCCCAACCACCTCCTGTGCCTGACAAGGCTTGTGATCTGTAAGGGCCTGAAAGATCGTGGGCTAAAGGGTAGTGGGAATACTCTGAGAAGGTGCAAAGAGCTTCGAGTGCTTGGGTGAGTGAGTGCTGGCTTCAGTTGCCGGCTTCTTTGAGGCTTCAGGGCTTTGTGGTTCAGGTTTGAGTTCTCCAAGACCTCAAACCAAACCCTATGGCCAGGTGCCAGACCTTCATCGGAGGCTCAAACACCCTTCCTCACGGTCTCAGGCGGCCTTGGGCTTCGGGCCTCTCAAGTCCTCGGGTTTGGTGGCTTTGATACATCCTAGCAGGATCAACACTGAAACTCTGCCCTCGAGTCAAAAGCCTCTAGGCGGCCCCGCATGGGAGCCTCTGAAAACACACAACTGACCCGTATTGCGGTCGCAACAAGGTCCTGCGACAGGACGGACACGCAGACAGAGAACAACTATTCTTAAGCTCCCCCCTTTAACCCCCCAAGCCTAAACCGCGACAACTGCATCCCTAAATCCCTCCGACGTGTCTTGGCACTCGCATTTTTGCTGTTGGATTGGGGGCCACCTCGGAGGAGCCTTGCTTGGCAGCTGCGAGGAAGTAAGCGCCGGCCAGCGTCGCGTTTCCTTGGGATAGGAGATGGGGCTTCAGGCTTTACGGTTTAGGATTTGGGGGTTTCGTAGGATTTTAGGGTGTCACGGAAGACGGATTACTGTCCAGAGGGCCGAATGCTGGAGGGGCTGGGGAGCTGGGGCTGAGGGTTTCTTTGAGACCGTTGTCGTGCTCTTCAGTGCTCCTTAGTCCGAGACCAGAGATCGGCGCCCTAAAGGATTTGAGGCATCAGGGTTAGGAGCACGGTCAGCGAGAACAACAAAGTGCTGCTGCGGCTGCTGCTACCGCTACTGCGACCGCTACTGCGACCGCTAGCGCCATTGCTACTGCTACTTCTACTCGTCCTACAACGACGACGACTGCTGCATACGACTACGACCAATACAAAGTCTCCACGACGACGACGACAACCACGACCACGACGACGACGCCGTGGACAACGACCACGACTACGACTACCACTACGACGAATACTACAACTACGACGACGAGTCCCACTCCCACTTCCGCTCCCGCTCACACTCCCACTCCCACTACCAACTCCCTCTCCCACTACAACTACCACTACCACTACCACTACCACGACGACGATGACGACGACGACACCTGCTCCTGCTCCTGCTCCTGCTGCTACTGCTGCTGCGACTGCGGCTGCACCGCCAATTCCTAAGCCCCATCCTCACTGGCCGCCCAGAACACTGAACCTCGAAACCCCAAACCCGAGATCCCAAAAGGACCCTTCCGGGCTGACTCCCAGAGTCGCCGAATGCCCTCGCCGTTGAGGAGCATGTTGCCCAGCATCACCTGGGCCTGACACAGGGCTCAGGGTATGGAGAGTATCCCGATTCGCGACTAAATTTCATGCAATATGATAGTTAGGTGAACACCCTGACTTGAAGCCGCTCTTACATGTTTACGAGTACTACACGAGGTAGATGTTGTTTAAGATAGATAACGGCATGTCTAGTCTAACTCCAAGGCTAGCACCGGCGGAGTGCTGCCAAACCATGAGCTTAGCTCGAATATGCGCCTCCGTCTAGTGCGGTGGTAAAGCCATGTGCGTGCCTGGCAAATGTGGTTGTGCACGTGCGCTTGACACGCCCTGCCGTTGCAATGAAGGCGCCTAAAGCTTTTGTGTGTCGAAGCCACCAGAGCTTGGAGGCCCCACGAACACATGGATTGTCTTGCAGTGTGATTGAAACTCTGGTCAGGAGCCATGGGGCAAAGGTTCAGGGCTCCCTCCATCATATGCGCCTGAACTTATCAGAGGATGTCTTGCTCGACTCCGTTAAGGCGCAAACCGTAACCTCAGGAACACTAGGCTTCCTTCCTCAGCCTTCACGTCCCGAAGCACTCAGCAACGAAATCCTTAAACATCCTGAGACCTGGTGATAATCCGGCAAAAGAACTGTACACGAAGACAGGGCCGCTCTACCGCAGGGTCCCCTGAAGGTTTGTACTTCAAAGCGAGTGGCACAACCTTCATGAACCCTGAACTTTAAACCGCTAAAACCCACAAACCAGCCTTCAACCCGAAGCCCCGAAACCCCAACAACCCTAAAGGCCCTAAAGCCCTTAAACCCCCCAACAGACCCATAACTACGTCAACAAGATAGCACTTGCGAAAAGAGCGCCACAAAAAGGGAAGGCCTGCACGTGGCGATTCCCGGCGGCCTCCATGGAGCGGTCAGGCTACACTCCACACCCTTTCCTCCTGCACCCTAGACCTGACCTACGCCGAGAACCGTGCACCAGAGCCCTAGCTCACAGAAATGTCAAGCCGCTTAAGCCCTGAGCCGTGAACTCAAGGGCCTGCTTCAGCCAGTAAGCGGCCGACAGCATATCCTGCGCAGAGTCTTGAGGCTCCACAACACCACACTCAGGTCCCTAGACTCGCTATCTAGCTAGACGGAGACAGACACGGAGACAGACAGACAGGCAGACAGAGTACAGCCCGCCGAACATCCATCGGCTCGCCCCACCCCCGCGCCACCCCTCAGGCCTCGCAGCTTGGGCTGGATTAGTGCACTTCTCTCGGGAACAGAAGCTCTTCACTCTTCCCCCAGTGATCCCTCACGGAGGGACTCTGCTGACTCGCAAGACAAGGGCGCCAAAGACGCAAGCACTGTACTGATGTAGGAACCTGATTAAGAAACCTTGGGCCTTTACTAGGGTTCCTTATATGAATCCTACTAAATTGGGGTTCCTACATTAGCGACACTACGAGGAATGGTGATTGGTACGAACCCTTTTTGCGGCTGAGGTTATTGATCAACTTCGGTTATGCTGGTATACCAACTGGTCAAGTTATTACGAAGTTACGACTATGCTTGCGTAGCTTCTTGGCGAAAGGTGCTCCTGTCATCAGGTACGACTATGGGGAAACAGCGATCCTTCGACTCTTCCAGCCCCCGAATCCTAAACCGGTCCTTTCCCTGCGGACCGACACTCTGCATGTAGATCTTTCCCATTGCGTGCTGCGCAGCTGGCAGCCCATCCTCTCGACAAAGCGGGATTTAGCGTGCAACCCAGTTGGAGTTGCCACGGCGTGCAAGGCTGAGGCTACATGGTACATATCGATCAGTTGAACCAAGGATCTGCTTGAGAGCCCTGCAGCAAAGCCCCCCCGGGGGAGGTCCTCGGCCGCCATGAGGATAAAGTTCACCCCCACCTCCTCGTCTACCTCGCAGCCCTCCCCTCGAATAAGCATCAGCCTCGGCGGCAGCATAGGGTTTTGGGCTCAGGATTTAGGCAAAGGTTCAGAGGCAGCAGCAGCAGCAGCAGCAGGAGGAGGAGGAGGAGGGGCGAAGGGTTCTAAAGAAGCTTTCCACTCACGTATCGTGATGACGACAATAACGACATGCAAGTAACAAAAAGGGTTGAAAGAACAATGGTAGGAGTGCTTCTTGGTGACACGAGAATGCGGGCACTAGGCTCAACTCTAAAACGTCTTAAGATAGCAGTCAGTGGATCCCCTGAAATCTTGTAATGGTCAGCAACAGTGCAAACCTCCAAAAAAACACATGTTGCAGCCTGAGCCCTGAATCCAAAGCCGTGTCGAATGCTGAGCATGGGTCCCGATCAGATACTGCGCTCTCACATGCTCCTGAAATGAAAGCTGCAGCTAGGAACAGAGCACGACAGCTTTCCCGCCGAATTGCGGGTCCAGGGTTCAATGCATGGGTTCTTCAAGACCTTAAACGGCAACACGCGGGGGTCACTTTCGAGTGTTGACTAGTTTCTGCGCGAATCCCTTTCAAGCTTACTACCCTCAACCCGTTGCATCCATTTCAGCCGTAAACCGTGTCCACTAAACCTGCACATACCCTTGCCTTCAGCCATAATCTCTCTTCGCGCTCAAGCTGCATCTTGTTGGTCGTACTACGCCTCTCGCACACATGGACTTTATGGTTGTTCACGCTGGTTCGTGCTCTGACTGGTACGTCTGGTTGTGAGCCTTCGTCTCAAGGAGAAGCATCCAACAAGACAAACCCTTGTGACAGCGGCATCACTAACCAGTATCACGATGCTTACATATTTGTACCAGAAGTGTCAGTAAGTATGGTGTTTCAGATCATTCCCATCCTACCGCTTCCTCTACTTCAATTTGTGTCTTGAACCCCAGCCCCAACCCTAAACTTCCGCACCATGCCAGCCAAACCCCTAAGACTCCGAAAGCCATGAGGCCCAAGCCCTGAACCCCCGAAGGCCCTGAGCCATCAACCCACAGCCCGGACTCGCTTAGCCCGAAAGGCTACAACCTACAGCCAACAGCAAGTTTGACCACTCCCAACTAGGAATCCCCAAAGCCCAAAAAAGACGCCCTGAAAGCCCTTAACCCTTCACCCTAAACCCTCAACCCCAACCCAGAACTGCGTCCTTTTCGGCAGCCTCCAGGACTAGCGAAAACCTCGCGGGCCCACAACTGGGAGTCTGGCTAAGCAAGTTGATCTAATTTGCCACACAATGTGTGGGCAGGCAGGTCCAGTTGAATGTTTGTGCGCGCATCTACTATGCATGTCTCTATCGTTCTGTGTTTGGCTCGCTGTTTTTCTATGTCTGTAGCTCGCTATTTCGTGATGTCGTTGTTCATTTATGTTGTTCTTGATTTTCGTTGTTGTGTCTATCTGTCTTTCTCCCTTACTCTCTCTCTGCCTCTCTTCCCTCCCTCCCCGCCTTCCTCCCTCGCTCCCTCTCTATCTCTCTCTATCTCTCTCTCTCTCTCTCGCTCTCTCTCTCTCTCTCTCTCTCTCTCTCTCTCTCTCTCGCTCTCTCCCTCTCTCTATCTCTCTCTCTCTCTCTCTCTCTCTTTCTCTCTCTCGTTCTCTGTTATTTCCTAGGCTGCGGCTAAACGTGCAAAAAGCAACGTCCCTTCCATGTTACGGCAGCTTGAGGTAAGGTCCTCAACAAGAGCTGTCCAGGGTTTACAGGGTTTGGGGTTGAGGGGCCGGCGATAAAGGTTCGAGGTTTGGGCTAAGAGTCTTGGTTTCCAGTTTTTGTGATTTAGGTTTGGAGTTCAGAGTGGTTGAAGTTTGCCATAGCTCCCGGTCCATATCTTGGGTGTTCCACCTTCCGCCGCATCTTCACCCCGAGAAGCGGGCCTTTCATAGCCTGAGCTTGAAACCTCAAGGCCTGAACTCTACAGCTCAAGCCGTCGAACGAACCTACATGCGGCCCCTCACAAACTTCTGAGAGATCGGCGCGCGAACTATGTCCTTCTCCACGACATCTGGCCCATAGTCGCAATAAGATGTCTTCAAGAGGCGGAAGATTGTTCAAATGTCCAAGGAAGCAGAATGAAAGGCGCTTCCACGGCCGATCTTTCAGGGTAGTATTTTGAACTCATTGTTGAGGCTTGGCTACTCTTCAGACTCAAACGAACGACCGAGTCTTTGCAATGTTGGAGGCTTGCAAAGTAAACTTGCGATGCTGCTTCGGATTGGATGGGCCTTTCTTCGATTGCTGCAACTCTGAGCTGGCCAGTCGGAAGCAGGTGCGAGAGGCACGGGGTTACATTCGAGTTCCAGTTCGGGTTCGAGAGGCCGTCTTTGTCTGGATGGGGCGGGATTGGGGGCGCGGGCTGGGGGTGGTCGCGTTCCAGTTCGGGATCCCTTACCTTTGCCTATGCATACACATATACATCTGCATATGCATGTGCATTTACGTTTGCATATGCATGTACATAGGCATATACATATATACATATACACATACTTATGTACATGCACAGGTATCTATACATGTATACACAAGACTCAGAATGTAGCGACAATCGTTCTTACCACGTCAAATCAAACATGCCCAAAACCGTACACACATGACTTTGCACAATGCTCGGGATTGAGGGCTTTAAGTACTGACTTCGTGTTGAAGGATTTGCGCGCATAGTACTTTTCGGGACTGACGGTCCACACTGCCTCTGCACCCTAAACCTGACAACCTCAACCAACAAGCCCTGATTCCAAGCAAAACTGCGGAGAAAAAGCATCCGACCCGGAGCAGTAGGAAGGAAAGACAAACCTAAGTAAGTCCCTCCAATAAGGGAAAAGCAGCTCATGTACTGGCCCCATGAGGTTTGGCCTTGAACTCTGCAACCCTGACGACGCAGCAAGAACCGAAACTCCTTGCCGGGCTGACCTCCTTTCCGAAATAGCTGGCCGAGCCTCTTGGCCGGTTGCATCTTTAGACTGCAGGCCCCATTAAGCACAGGCTGTACGGTTCGAGGTTTTCAATGGTAGGGATGCCAGAAGGAGGAGGCCCTGATTTGGTGTTGACGGTTCATCCTGGGCCAAACAAGGTACCCAACAGCAAGACATTCCAGGTAGCCACGCAACACCACGAAGCCTGCACTCTTGATCCGAAACCACAACATGAAAAATCGGCAATCGACATTAGAACCCCGAGCGATCAAATCGAAACTCCAAACCGAGCAAGTGTTCAAGCTCATTATTCGTTCTGCCGAACAATCCGGTCCGTCCTGAACTGGGCGTCGGGATCGCCCTCATCGGCTCGCTCTTCCAGCTCGGCGACTTCCTGGTGTGTGTGTGTGTAACTAAACGTAACAGTGGGGATAAACCAAAGCACGTTGATGCACCGTATTGTCAGCATGTGTCAGAGTGGGAAGTAGCATGATCACAATCATGGCCAGAAGCAGAATGATAATATTGGTAGGAGGCGTCGCGATCATGGCGCTGACGACAACAGCTACTTGGCTGGAGTGGGAAGGCTCAAGCGAGGCTTGACGAATCAAAGATACAACATGCGAGTGTTCAGGACGGCCAGAGCCGGCATGATCGATTCTCCTGGAATTAATTCGCAAATTTGCAGGATCCATCATCCATAAACTCAAAGACTACAGACACACAAACAAAAAGAAATATCGGCGAGTGTGAACGCATCGAGGTGCCAGGGTTAGTGACCACGGTGGCTACACGCGGCTTGTAGCCTTTTCAGGTGCGATACAAATCTTGCTGAAAGTGTCTTACATGCCTTGAGTTGCTTCAAGTTGTGACGGAAGAGCTTTGGTCTAACATGCGGTACAAAGATATTCTGAAACACTACTCTCTTCGAGCTTTTCCAGGTGATGTCAAGTTTGAGAGTCAACGCTCCTGCGCAACGCTCGGCGGAGCCGCATCCACAGCCTGCGCTTTGGATGGCGCTGCGGCTCGAAGCTCAAATCTCATCGTAAACGAAAATGGCGAATGTCATTGTTCCAGAACAAAATATATGTCACGTCCTCAAACACTTCATACTCACAATATGACAGGCCGTCTCGTCACACCCACCCGCTACCCCCTGGAAGTCCGCCCGGCCGCCCACCAGCAGACTTAGCGAACTCTTCCCTGAAAAGTCCACCCGGCACCGGCACCCGCCCGGGAGTAGCACTAGTAGTAGCACTAATATTGCTATTGTAATTCCAGCAGCGGCACAACGATCGCGACTTGCAGCGACTATTTGATGCGGTTTGGCTTGCTCGCGTTTTCTTGTGTAAGCAGCACCGGCTGGTCTATCAGAACGCAAGTGTCCAACACCCACCCCCCGGTCCGACTCCACGTCTGGGTTTCAGGACTGGGAATTGGAGATCATGGTTGAGGGCTTCGGAGTAAAGGAGTCGAAGCAGATAGCTGACCCTGAGGCTGTGCGAAAGTTTGCAAGGGGTCAGGGGGGTTGAATGGCGACCGCCAGCAAAAACGAGAGACATGATTCAACATGTCTGGTTAACCGTGCCATGGCTGTTGAATCGCACTTGTTGTAGAACATACTGGACAACAATTTGTCGTCACAGGCTAACACACCTGGCGCCCGCACGGTGTATTACGCACCCCGTTTCATCGTACACGGCTCCACCAATGTGCGACGTGCAAACCAAAGGCCATGGCGCGTACTGCAGCAATCTCAAGGCTACGCTGCCCGCTTACGCCAAGGATCTAGAATCCTGACCGAAGTTGCAAGAACCGATCTTACAAAACAGAAACGCGCAACAAAATATGAGAAGTCAACCTGACACACTGGAGGGCTCCGACCTGCCCCAAGTCCGGAAGTCTTAACCGAGAAATGACATTATCCAAGCAGCTCAAACACCTACACCCCCTTAAGGGTTGAGGTGGGTTTCGTGTTGATGCCCTTTGGGGGCTTCGCGGCCTGCACCCCACGTCGCGTCGAGAAGACGCGCGGCACCTTCGGTCCGACCTGGACGAACCTTGGTGGACTTCGATGTGAGGGTTTCGCAAGGTTTGAATTAAGGGGTGGCTCATGTACGGCTGCGGGGGTCCCAAAGACAGGACATCCACCATTTAGTGAGTCTACTGTAGTGGGTCCCCTAACTTTCTGAAAAGGGCTCGAGGATGTAGGCTCTGGTTCAGCGTGCGAGAAAGTACTGTACAGGAGGTTGGGGCTTCAGCTTCGAACTCAAGCTGTTTAGATCTGTTTAGGGATTTGAGGTTTAGCTCGAAATTGGAGTTTTTGAGGTTTGGAGCTCAGAGCTTTAACGAGAGTTAGCACTTTCAAGCTGAACTCAAGCCCCCAAACTCGAACTCTGAACCCCGGAGCCGCAATCCCAAACCCCAAGCCGTGTACTGAAACTTTCCCGAAGTCCGGAGAAGAGGCTATGGAGTCGCGGAGAGGTTCGTAGGATTCCCGGGAGTTCTTTATGCACTGAACCCCTTAAGAGGGCCGACGCCGGAAGAACCGGGGTCGGCACGTGCACCCGGAAAGAAGGGCCAGGATGCAAAGGCACCGGAGAGGCCTGCTAGATCCAGGGCCCGCGTGGTCTAGTGTTTGGGGCTCGGTGTTTCGTCTTAGTGTGCAGGGTTCCGGGCCGTTCCGGGGGCAGTCCGGACTTGAGTTTCGGGCTTAGGTCTTCGGGGCCCTGGGCAGCAAACCTTTGAGCTTCGCAGAGTTCGTGGATCTCCCAATCCGATGGAGTCTGCACACAGTGGCAGAGGACATGCAACTACATGAAGGGAATCAGTGCTGCCTTTCCCGTGAACATGGATTCCCACGAGGATCGAACAAGGCTCCGGGTGTTATTGCCAGCTCCTTCCTGCCCGTGGTCAGGGCTCGAGGAAACCCCAGCTAAACGGTATTGAATCAACAACTCACAAGCCGCGACCACCTTTAGCGTCTCATCCTCCATCCCTTTGATGTGCCCATAAACCCCAAGCCCTACGCTCCTTAAGTCAAAACACACCGCTTAGACACCCACACAGCCACAAACCCTGCATTCTGGGGGCCTCGACCGCCAGATGCTCAGTGACGTGGTCGGATACATGGTTCGTGTGGACTCTAATGAACGTCGGGTGCTGAAGCATGTCTGTTTTAGGGTTTACTGTACTGTTCATGTGAACTAATATAGGCGAGAACGATGACAAAGCTGAAAGCACGTGTAAATGAGACTAATACTCGTAGAGGTCACTAATCATCTAGTTTAGGTCTCATCGGTGCAGGGCTTCGGCTAATTAAAACCCGGACTTGGGCGCTCTCCGGGGCATAGCGATCGAGAGTTGAGTTGGAGAAACAGAGGGGTTCAAGGGTGTTGGGGGCGTGGACTTTGGAGCTGCCAGCTTTAGCTGGAAACTGCTCTGTGTAGAGTGCGCGGGCCTGAAGATGTAGGACTCTGGGCCAGGGAACTGAATCATAAAGCGACGCTTTTCAGGTCACCATGATCTTTGTGCTTGCACCAAAGACGGCAGGTAGCAAAAACGAGCGAAGCAACTTCGGTGCTCGAAGTCATCACGAGATCCCTCTACTCGTAGCAGCGAGTGCTTTCTGGATAACCATCTTCCCCGAACTACCCTGAGAGAACCGCACCCAGCCTAGGTGTTCCAGTTCGACGACCCGAACTTCTAAGAAGCAGCTCTGCAGCCACATCCCCCGAAGATCTCGTCATGTCCTTTCTCCTCTTCTTGCAACCGGCTTTAAGTTTTTCTGACTGTGTTAAATCGCGCTGAGAATGGTGAGAAGCGACAAAAATACGACGCACTACCCTCAAGCAGTCCAGGGACCTCCTAATTTCTAAGTTCGAGGTATGCTACAGCTCCAGACGGATTGTCAAGAGAACTAGAACGACTGCCACATTAGGCTTCAATGCATCATCCATTGTGAAGATTGCCGACAACAACAACTACTACTTCTACTACCACCACTACTACTACTCCTCTTCCTCCACTACTTATCCTACTACTACTATTACTACTACTACTACTACAACTACTACTACTACTACTACTACTACGTACTACGTACTACGTACTACGTACTACTACTACTACTACTACTACTACTACTACTACTACTACTACTACTACTACTACTACTACTACTACTGCTACTGCTGCTACTACTACTACTACTACTACTGCTACTGCTACTGCTACTGCTACTGCTACTGCTACTACTACTACTACTACTACTACTACTACTATATGTATAGTGTCGTTTTCATCTTCCTCAGCATGATAGTGGTAGTAGTAGTAGTAGTAGTAGTAGTAGTAGTAGTAGTAGTAGTAGTAGTGATAGAAATAGTAGTAGTAGTAGCAGCAGTAGTAGTAGTAGTAGTAGTAGTCGTGGTGGTGGTGGTGGTGGTGGTGGTGGTGGTAGTGGTAGTGGTAGTGGTAGTGGTAGTGGTAGTGGTAGTGGTAGTGGTAGTGGTAGGTGGTAGGTGGTAGATGGTAGGTGGTAGTGGTAGTGGTAGTGGTAGTGGTAGTGGTACTACCGGTAGTGGTAGTGGTAGTGATGGTGGCAATGGTGGTGGTACTACCGATACTGGTAGTGGTAGTGATGGTGGTAGTGGTGGTGGTGGTCGTGGTAGTATTAGTAGTCGTCGTCGTAGTCGTCATAGTCGTAGTGGTAGTGGTAGCAAAAGTAGCAGAAGTAGTAGTAGCAAGTAGCAAGTAGCAAGTAACAAGTAGCAAGTAGCAAGTAGCAAGTAGCAAGTAGCAAGTAGCAAGTAGCAAGTAGCAAGTAGCAAGTAGCAAGTAGCAAGCAGCAAGTAGCAAGTAGCAAGTAGCAAGTAGCAAGTAGCAAGTAGCAAGTAGTAAGTAGTAAGTAGTAAGTAGTAACTAGTAAGTAGTAAGTAGTAAGTAGTAACTAGTAACTAGTAAGTAGTAACTAGTAAGTAGTAAGTAGTATGTAGTGGTAGCAGTAGCAGTAGCAGTAGCAGTAGCAGTAGGAGTAGGAGTAGGAGTAGGAGTAGGAGTAGGAGTAGGAGTAGGAGTAGTAGTAGTAGTAGTAGTAGTAGTAGTAGTAGTAGTAGTAGTAGTAGTAGTGGTGGTGGTGGTGGTGGTAATAGTAGTAGTATTTCCTTGCGTCAAGGTGCTTGGTGCTAGGATTGCCACTGCGGTCCTATGGAGGCTCCCTCGTGACCTTGGATTCTCGGGTCCAGGAGCGTCGATTTGCTTCTCAGGCGAGAGAGGGCCCTTTTTGTTGGGCCTAGGGGGGGTATTGTCCTCAGCCAGAAACCTTCGGTTCTGGAGAGGCAGGGGCCCGGCCCATGAGAGGCCGGATGCAAGCACGACGCTTTTGAGCACCATGACACACTCAGAGTCTGTAGAGTCTTAGGGTCTGAGGGCTCGAGGATTTAGAAGTCTAGGAGTCTAGGAGTCTGGGGCAGGTGGACGTGGTGTGTCGTGGCACTCGCGTCGCAATTTCGTGCTACCAGTGCCTCAACCGGCGCAGGCTCCAGTTGCC